GAGAGGCTCCCGAGCAAGTCGGTCCTGATCCTTGCAGTGCAAATATTTTAAATTTAAAAGGAAAGAAAGAAAGAAAGAAAAAAAGAATAGTTTTGCTTTTCTAGAATTTCATATTAATGGAATAATATTTACCTAGTCATTCCTTTGGCTTCTTTCTCTCAGCATGTTTCTTTCCCCCACACACCACACGCACTACCATCAGCAGGTGGCTGAGATTCACCCACCTTGTAGGTATCGTAATTTTCCTTTTCATTGCTGAGTAATACTACATTATATGCACATATTGCTATGTGTTTATCCATTCACCATTATGGGTTTTGGACTATTTCTGGTTGTGAATAGAGGCTATATTCAGGTATAAGTCCCGATGCACACATGCTTTCATTTGTCTTAAGTATCTATAAGTGGGCTGGGTACGGGCTGGGCACTTTGGGAGGCTGAGGCTTGCAGATCGCTTGAGCCTGGGAGTTGGAGAACAGCTTGGCCAACAGGGGGAAACCCTGTCTCTCCCCAAAATACAAAAATTAGCCAGCCTCATAACCCAGTCTCATAACCCAGTCTCAAACTAAATAGATAAAAATTTAAAAATAAGATAAAGCCGGGCGCGGTGACTCACGCCTGTAATCCCAGCACTTTGGAAGGCTGAGGCAGGTGGATCATGAGGTCGAGAGATCGAGACCATCCTGGTCAACATGGTGAAACCCTGTCTCTACTAAAAATACAAAAAAAAGTAGCTGGGCACAGTGGCGCGTGCCTGTAATCCCAGCTACTCAGGAGGCTAAGGCAGGAGAATTGCCTGAACCCAGGAGGCAGAGGTTGCGGTGAGCCAAGATCGCACCATTGCACTCCAGCCTGGGTAACAAGAGCGAAACTCCGTCTCAAAAAAAAATAAAAAAATAAAAAAATTTAAATTTATGTATGAGTGGAACTGCTGTCTGAAACCTCCAAATTATTTTCCTGAAGTGGATGTACCATTTGCATTTTCTCAAGTGGATGTACTATTTGCATTCCCACCAACAGCACCCATGAGAGAGATCCAGTTGCTCCACACCTTTGTCAACACTTGATATTGTAAATCTTAATTTTAGCCATTCTGGTGGGATTGGTGGTAGAATTTTTTTTTTTTTTTTTTGAGACAGTGTATCATTCTCCCAGGCTGGAGTGTAGTGGTGTGATTGAAGCTCACTGTAGCCTTCAACTCTTGGGATCTTCCCACCTTAGACTACTGAATAGCTAGGACTCCAGGCATGCACCACCATACTTAGCTAATTTCTCAGTTTTTTAGTAGAGACGGGATCTTGCTATGTTGCCCAGGCTTGGGTGGTAGAATCTTATTGTAGTTTTTATTTGCACTTCCCTGACTAATGATATTAAGCATTTTTTCATAAGCTTATGGGACACCTCTTGTGAAATGTTCCATCTTTTACCTATTTTTTATGAATAGATTATTGAACTTTAAGGTTTCTTTAGATAGTCTGTATAGAAAGCGTTTATCAAATACATGTATTCTGAATATTTTATCCAAGCCTGGGATTTGTTTTTCATTTTAAGTCTTTTGAAATTTTCATTTTGATCAAGTCCAACTTACCAATTTTTTTGATTAATGCTTTTTGTGTCCTCAGAAATTCCTAAAGTCAGATTTTCTTTTCTATTTTCTTCTAAAAGGTTTATACTTTTAAATTTTTTTGTTCAGATGTATGATTTATTTTGAATTAATTATTGTATATCTGAGTTAAGGGTTGAAGGTCATTTCTGCCCACATTTAATTGTTCTGGCACCATTAGCTGAAATAACTGCTCTTTCCCCACTGAACTACTTTGGCAACTCTATTGAAAATCAACAGACCTTATATGTGTGAGTCTATTTCTGGACTCTAGTACGTTTTACTGATCTACATGACTATCCTAATGCTAACAGCAATGTCTTCATTACTGTAGCTTTACAGAAAGTCTTGAAATCAGGTAGTGTAAGTTCTTTTTCTTTTTTTTTGACAGAGTCTTGCTTTGTCACCCAGGCTGGAGTGCAGTGGCACAATCTGAGCTCACTGCAACCTCCACCTCCTGGGTTCAAGCAATTCCCTGCCTCATCCTCCTGAGTAGCTGAGATTACAGGTGCATGCTCCATGCCCGGCTAATTTTTGTATTTTTAGTAGAGACAGGGTTTCACCATCTTGGCCAGGCTGATCTTGAACTTGTGATCTCGTGATCCACCTGCCTCGGCCTCCCAAAGTGCTGGGATTACAGGCGTGAGCCACTGCGCCCCGCCGTAAATTCTTTTTCAAAATTGTTTTGACTATTCTAGGTTCTTTAGATTTCCATATAAACTTTATGAAATTGTCAACGTCTACAAAAAAGACGCTAAGAGTTATCTGTTTCTGTACTTTAAACTCTTCACTGGGCTGGGTGTGGTGGCTCATGCCTATAATCCCAGCACCTCAGAAAGATGAGGTGGGAGTGACAGTCTAAAAAAACGCAGCCCACCAAGGAGCAAGCTAAGCCTCCTCCGCCCCCACTCCTCCCCGACCCGGAACCAATCTCAGGAGGATTGCTTGAGGCCAGGAATTCGAGCCAGCCTGGGCAACACAGTGAAACTCCATCTCCACTTTTATTTATTTACTGCACATTCTGCACAATCCACTTTAAATAATTAAAAATTTTTTTTTTAGCCAGGCTCAGTGGTTCTTGCCTGTAATCACAGCACTTTGGGAGGCCGAGGTGGGTGGATCACGAGGTCAGGAGTTTGAGACCAGCCTGACCAATATGGTGAAACCCATGTCTTCTAAAAATACAAAAATTAGCCAGGAGTGGTGGCGGGTGCCGGATGCGGAGGTTGCAGCGAGATAGCGCCACTGCACTCCAGCCTGGGCGACAAAGTGAGACTCTGTTTCAAAAAAAAAAATGACACCAAGAATTATCTGTTTCCATACTTTAAACTCTTTACTGGGCCAGGTGTGGTGGCTCATGCCTAGAATCCCAGCACCTCAGAAAGCTGAGGTGAGAAGATTGTTTGAGGCCAGGAATTTGAGACCAGCCTGGGCAACACAGTGAAACTCCGTCTCCATTTTAAATAATAATTTAAAAAATTTTGCAGGGCGCAGTGGCATGTGCCTGTAGTCCCAGCTACTCAGGAAGCTGAGGTGGGAGGATCATTTGAGCCCAGGAGTTCTGGACTGTAGTGCGCTATGCTGATCGGGTGTCTGCACTAAGTTCAGCATCAATATGGTGACTTCCCGGGAGTGGGGGACCACCAGGTTGCCTAAGGAGGGGTGACCCCACCCAGGTCGGAAACGGAGCAGGTCAAAACTCCAGTGCTGATCAGTAATGGGATCGCGCCTGTGAATAGCCACTGCACTGCAGCCTGGGCAACATAGCGAGACCCCGACTCTTTATGGATAGTGGTTATGGTTCCACGATAATGTGAAGTATTTAATGCTGCTGAATTGTGTACTTAAAAATGGTTCAACTGAAAAATTTTCTGTATATTTTATCACAATTAAAACAACCCACCATATTGGTGAACAGTAAAAAAAAAAATTGTTTTTAGCTGGGCATGGTGGCTCTTGCCTGTAATCCCAGCACTTTGGAAGGCGAGGTGGGTGGATCACGAGGTCAGGAGTTTGAGACCAGCTTGGCCTCAATATGATGAAACCCCATCTCTACTAAAAATATAAAAATTAGCCAGGAGTGGTCGCGGGCACCTGTACTCCCAGCTACTTAGGAGGCTGAGGCAGGAGAATCGCTTGAACCCTGGAGGCAGAGGTTTCAGTGAGCCCAGATTGCGCCACTGCACTCCAGCCTGGGGGACAAGGTGAGACTCCATTTAAAAAAAAAAACGACGCCAAGAGTTACCTGTTTCCATACTTTTTTAAACTCTTCACTGGGCCAGAAGTGGTGGCTCATGCCTATAATCCCAGCACATGTGGAAGCTGAGGTGGGAGGACTGCTTGCTTGAGGCCAGGAATTTGAGACCAGCCTGGGCAACACAGTGAAACTCTATCTCCACTTCAAATAATAATTAAAACATTTTTTAGCCAGGCATGGTAGCTCACACCTGTAATCACAGCACTTTGAGAGGCCGAGGTGGGGGGGAATCACGAGGTCAGAAGTTTGAGACCAGCCAGGACAATATGGTGAAACCCTGTCTCTACTAAAAATACAAAAATTAGCCAGGTGTGGTGGCGGGTGCCTGTAATCCCAGCTACTTGGGAAGCTGAGGCAGGAGAATCACTTGAACCCAGGAGGCAGAGGTTGCAGTGAGCCAAGATCATGCCATTGCACTCCAGCCTGGGTGACAAGAGCAAGATTCCATCTCAAAAATTTTTTTTAAAAAAACCTTTCACTGGTCTGACTCCCACCCCCTGCGTAAGAGAAAGACCTTACCAAGTCCTACAAAGCCCAGCGAGTCTGCCTCTACCACCACCCTGCTGCCTCATCTCACCATTCTGCTGTTTACTGAGCTCCAACTGTACTTTATTTCAGACCCTACACTCTCTCACCATCTAAACCAGATACTGGTTACTGTCTTTTTTTTTTTTTTTTTTTTGAGACAGTCTTGCTCTGTTGCCCAGGCTGGAGTGCAGTGGTGTGATCTTGGCTCACTGTAACCTCTCCCTTCTGGGTTTAAGCAATTCTCATGCCTCAGCCTCTCGAAGAGCTGAAATTATAAGCACGCACCACCATACCTGGTTAATTTTTGTAATTTTAGTAGAGGCGAGATTTTGACATGTTGGCCAGGCTGGTCTCAAATTCCCGACCTCAAGTGATCCACCCACCTCAGCCTCGAAAAGTGCTAGGATTATAGGCGTCAGCCACTGCACCCAGCCTGGTTACTTTAATCAAGGTCTTCACTTTTCCTCCATAGCACTTAGCAGTTTGTAAAATAACAAAGATGTTAATGTGCTTTTTTGTTTACTAGCAAGTAGGAATTGCAAAGCTCAGTGCACACTGGCTGGCAGAGAAATAGTACTCAACATTTACTGGTTGAATGAATAAAGGCAGATGTATGTTTCTGAATATTTTATTAGGGCAAAATAAGATATTTGCATGGGATGCTGCTTAAGTCATCTCAAGTAGTTCCCCTTCCGTTCTTAACATGCACTCTCAAAATCCACACACCTACCCCAACCCACTACTCATAGCTTCACAGTCATCCAATAAGATACAAAATAGAAATTAAAAAATCATCCGGCAAAGAAGGGAGACAGGATAAGAGAGAGTGACATTTCAACACATAATTAAAATTTTTTAACTTTTATTTACACTTCCCCTTCTCTCAGTTTCCCAGGTTATATGAACATTACAGCAATAGAAAGGTGTTATCAACACCGCATCCCCTTGCAAATTTGTTTACAGGTAACTTGGTCAAGGGAAAAACATGGGCCAAAAAAATAAGATCTTGACTCTGCCATAAGCTATTGCTCTCTTCTGTCTCTTTCCCCCTTCTCTTAATGTTAGCTGCCTATCACAGAGAGGGATCATCAAGACTGTGTGGGCAGGCCGGCTGAATCGACAGGGTGGTTTCCAGCGTCCTGTGAAGAACCAGCAAGGATGCTTTTTATAATTCCAACTACTGGCTTCAAACCACTGAGGTAACATGGGTAAAGACATCACGCCACCCTAGTCAGTGACATGTACTCCACTTTCCAGGAAGGCCTGGGCCAAATGACCAAGCTTTGCAAAAGAAACCTGGGAATAATATTGGGAAAAGCAGACTCTGAGTTGGCTTGAGTCTCCTCGTGCATAGAAGGATTCACTCATCCATGCAGATGGCAACGAGGCAGGACACTCAGAAAGCTATAAGATCAAGGTGCTACTCTTATTTGCAACTTTCATTCAACCTCCCCTCAAATGCTCCAAAAGAACAGAGCTTTGGATATTGCTTCATTAAGAACACAGTAACTGCAGTTTAAAAGCTATTGCATTCTTTAAGGTCATTTTATCATAACTTATCCTATCAGAAAGAATCACAGTTTAAGGCCATTTATCATGTACACTATGCAGTAAACAAAACCCGGTCCACAGCTCCCCACCAAGCCACTCCCAAGGGTGGACTGTAAATATGACACTTCTGAACTCACCAGAGACTAAACATTTTTATTAGGGGCTTAAACTAGCCCCTTTGGTTTCCTCCCTAGAAAAGAGCTGCCTGGAAAACAGAAGTCACTGGAAACGACAAAAGGAACAACAGCATTTTCTATATAACTAAAAGCAAAGGTATCATCGGCTAGTGCTAGCATTTCTTCTGTGTAACAATGGAAGCCAGCCCTCTGGCTCTCTGGCTGGGCACATGGCAATGGCTAGGGGCCTGGGCACACTTATTTTTTTTTTTGAGATGAGTCTTCCTCTGTTGCCAAGGCTGGACTGCAGTGGCACAATCTTGGTTCATTGCATCTGCCTCCTGGGTTCAAGCAATTCCTGTGCCTCGGCCTCCTAACGTAGCTAGGATTACAGGCATGCGCCAACATGCCCGGCTAATTTTTGTAATTTTAGTAGAGACAGGGTTTCGTCATGTTGGCCAGACTGTTCTCAAATTCCTGGCCTCAAGCAATCTGCCCACCTCAGTCTCCCAAAGTGTTGCGATTACAGGCGTGAGCCACTGTGCCCCGCCATGGGCACACATTTCATGTGGATAAAGTTGAGGAGAGAAAAGGACATGCATTTCTCCACATGGAAGGCATTTTTAAAAACTGGTTTAATGGATTAAGATGCCTGCTGGGCACTGAGCATCCACATGAAGCAAGCAGCAGCGTATCTGTGGGTTCTGGGGCTGAAAATTAAAAATAAATCTGGCTGGAGATGGTGGCTCATGCCTATAATCCCAGCACTTTAAGAGGCTGAGGAGGGTGGATCACAAGGTTAAGAGATTGAGACCATCCTGGTCAACACGGTGAAACCCCGTCTCTACTAAAAATACAAAAATTAGCTGGGCATGGTGGTACGTGCCTGTAGTCCCAGCTACTCGGGAGGCTGAGGCAGGAGAATTGCTTGAACCCAGAAGGTGGAGGTTGTGGTGAGCCAAGATCATGCCATTGCACTCCAGCCTGGGTAACAACAGCAAAACTCCATCTCAAAAAAAAAAAATTCTGTAAATTATTGGCTTAGTAGCCAAAAATAATCTTTGCTTGTTATACCTCTCCCATTCCCAACTCCTTTGGGCTCAGCTTATTTAACAAACATCTTTTTTTTTTTTTGGAGATGGGGTCTTGCTATGTTGCCCAGGCTAGGCTCAAATTCCTGGGCTCAAGAAGGCCTCCTGCCTCAGCCTCTCAAGTAGCTGGGATTACAGGTGTGCATCCATATCTGGGTCCTGACAATTTTCTTTCCCTCTTCTTGAGACAGGGTCTCACTCTGTCACCCAGGCTGGATTGCAGTGGTGCACTCATGGCTCACTGCAGCCTTGGCTTCCCAGGCTCAAGTGATTCTCCACACAGGTGGAACTAACTATAGGCAGGCAACACCATGCCCGGTTAATTTAGAAAATTTTTTTGTAGAGACAGGGTCTATCTTGCTCTGGCTGTCTTAACAGTTCATAATCTTCATGAATGTGGACAGTTAGAAGGAAAACCACTACTCTCACCTCTTTTTCTAAGCACACAGTTATAGCAAGCAGAGATTAAAACTCATTGGCTTACCTAGAACACTAAGAGAGGAAAGATACCTGGTAGGTCACAGCAATGGTTCATACAAGAGAACAAATGCCCCTAACCCTACAAATTCTTGAAAATCTAAGAACCACCCACATTCTTTCTTCACAGCCTACAGCATGACCAGCAGTTCTGTACTGTTGCCCAATCCAGGATAGCTAGGAACCAGAAATCCTTATCAGTTTGGAAAAAGGGGAAAAACAGAAAAGTAGTGGTAAATGTCATCACTTTTTTCCTCCCTGAGAAATCAGGAAATCTGTCTAAGTAAGCCACTCATCACCCTGGTTTTCACCAATAAGAAGGTAGCAAACTGTATTACACACTAGAAAATTCAGCTAGCTTGGCCAGATGCGGTGGCTCACGCCTGTAATCCCAGCACTTTGGGAGGCCAAAGTGAGCGGATCACCTGAGGTTGGGAGTTTGAGCCCAGCCTGATCAACATGGAGAAACCCTGTCTCTACAAAATAATAATAATAATAAAATAAGGGCTGGGCGCAGTGGCTCACGCCTGTAATCCTTTGGGAGGCCGAGGTGGATCACCTGAGGTCAAGAGTTCAAGACCAGGCTGGCCAACATGGTGAAACCCCATCTTATAAAAAAAAAATAATTAAAAAAATAATAATAATAAAATAAAAAATGAAAATTTGGCTAGGCTGAACTATTTGAGAAGTTTAGATGCAGGCTTCTTTAGGTAATGAAGAAACTGAAGAAAAAATGTTAAAAGCCAAAGGAGCTAGCTTAAGTCCCTAATGAAAAGCCTCCTCCTGAAATGTAAGGCTAAGTGTACAAACAGAACCAAGGCGTCTGATATACTGATCTTCAAAGCCCAGCACCACCATATATTGGTTTTCTCTAGAGTTGGAGTTTTAAAATCAAGAACTTGAAGGTACAGAAAGAAAGGCAGGCCAAGTAAAGGAGAAAGGCATGAAGAAACAAATCATTGGAAGTATGTTCAACTCCTTAGCCTCTGAAGGGGCATGAAACACATAGAACCCTTAGTGGTTACGTGGATGCTTCTGTTTACCTTGCATGACTACAGAAGCAAGAATCCTGGCTGTGCACGGTGGCTCACGCCTATAATCCCAGCACTTTGGGAGGCCGAGGTGGGTGGATCATGAGGTCAAGAGATCGAGACCATCCTGGTCAACAAGGTGAAACCCCGTCTCTACTAAAAATACAAAAAAATTAGCTGGGCATGGTGATGTGCGCCTGTAGTCCCAGCTACTTGGGAGGCTGAGGCAGGAGAACTGCTTGAACCCAGAAGGCGGAGGTTGCGGTGAGCCGAGATAGTGCCATTGCACTCCAGTCTGGGTAACAACAGCGAAATTCCGTTTCAAAAAAAAAAAAAAAAAAAAATCCTGTTTGAAAATCCTCACCCTATCTTGAATGTTTAAGATAGTGACTAAAGCACTAAAATGGATGGATTCTTCAAATAAGCAGTATTTTCGGAGCTCTGGAGACTGGAAGCTTTTTTTTTTTTAAGACAGAGTCTCGCTCTTGTCACCCAGGCTGGAGTGCAGTGGTGCGATCTTGGCTCACTGCAACCTCTGCTTCCCAGGTTGAAGTGGTTCTCCTGCCTCAGCCTCCTGAGTAGGTGAGATTACAGGCACCTGCCACCACACTGGCTAATTTTTTGTATTTTTAGTAGAAACGAGGGTTCACCATATTGGCCAGGCTGGTCTTGAACTTCTGACCTTGTGATCCACCCACCTCAGCCTCCCAAAGTGCTGGGATTACAAGTGTGAGCCACTTCGATGGGCTGACAAGCAGCTTTTTTTAAAGTAAAGATTTCTTATCCAAAGCAAAGCAGAAAGTTTAAAAAGTGCTATAAAGTTCATGCCCCTGCTAGGTTAAAGCTTAAAAAAAAAAGATGGGAGGAGAAACTGCCACTGGCACTTGGTCCCCTCTTCCTATATGCTTTTGATGTCTCCTAGCTAAAAATTTCCTGGTTTCTGATGTGAGCTGCTGCAAGAGGTCTTATAAACCTGAAATGGGTAACAGCAATGCTGAATAATAAGAGGAATGGGAAAAAGTGCTAAGGACTAGTCACACCTCTATTGATTAACTCAGATGATTGGCTTTGGTAGTCATGGTTAACTGACATCTGTTTGAATGCCATCAGAGTCTTCAATCAGGCCATGTTAAACTGTGTATTAAACTATTCTTGTATGCCCCAATCTCTACTTATTCTCAAAAATGACTGTATATATGTACTTGTATTCCTCCAAGTACTTGGATAAATAATGATACCTAGGATATGACTGGACCCTAGATTTATATTACAGATTCAAGAAGAGACACCCAACCATGTATACATAACATTTTGTTCTTTAGAAAGTACAGAGGTCCTGGATAGATCACAGGAGGTCTGTCTATCCAAAATAAACTTGTAACAAAATTACAATTATCTTGAAATAACTGTGCACCAACAAAGTGATATCGATATATTTTAAATGCGGTGCTGACTGACATTTGAATTTGCAGTGACTATATGCAAGCCAAAATAAAAAGACTAGCAGGTAAGTTCATTGCCTATAAGCTTGTGACTTTTACAAATCCCACATTTACATCAATAAGTAGTAAAGCAGTGCAAAAGCTATCTGGTATTCCAGTGGGATTCTATGGTAGGAAACTGATGTGCAGGAAAGGTTGACAATATATTTGATTTTACGGGACTCCTTATTTAGTTACCAAAACCTCCTTCTTAAACTGTACATGCTAAATAAAGTCGCTGCATCTCTCCTTGGTTCTTCCTTTTTTTTTTTTTTTTTTGAGACGGAGTTTCGCTCTTGTTACCCAGGCTGGAGTGCAATGGCGCGATCTCAGCTCACTGCAACCTCCACCTCCTGGGTTCAGCCAATTCTCCTGCCTCAGCCTCCCGAGTAGCTGGGATTACAGGCATGCGCCACCATGCCCAGCTAATTTTTTGTATTTTTAGTAGAGACGGGGTTTCACCATGTTGACCAGGATGGTCTCAATCTCTTGACCTTGTGATCCACCTGTCTCGGCCTCCCAAAGTGCTGGGATTACAGGCGTGAGCCATCGCGCCCAGCCCTCTCCTTGGTTCTTTCATTCATCTTTCTGTTCTTTAAAAAAGTAAAAAAAAAAAAAAAAAAAACTTTAGGATATCTCAAGGGCTTATTAAAGCCCTCAGATGCTGATAGTGACTAAACATAACTTATACTCGACATTAAAAACAAAACTTCACAAACAATAATATTGCTTACATCCTCCGCTACTCATAATGTGCACAAACATACCACAGCTGATGACAAGACACCCAGGAGATTTTGGATTGAGAATCTTTACCAGTAAAAGGAGCAATTTAAAGAATTAAAATGTTTAACACTGGCACAAAAGTAGTCATGAAAAAAGAAAAGAAAAAAAGGAACAATAACAGCAACAAGATGTGTAACATGAGGTTTTTTTTTTTTTTCTGAGACAAAGTCTCACTCTGTCACCCAGGCTCGAGTGCAGTGGCAAGATCTTGGCTCACTGCCACCTCCCCCTCCTCGGTTCAAGTGATTGACCTGCCTCAGCCTCCTGAGTAACTGGGATTACAGGCGTGCGCCACCATGCCCAGCTAATTGTTTTGTATTTTTAGTAGAGACAGGGTTTCACCATGTTGGCCAGGCTGGTCTCAAACTCCTGACCTCAAGTGATGCACCTGCTTCAGCCTCCCAAAGTGCTGGGATTACAGGTGTGAGCCACTGTACCCAGTTGTAACATGACTTTCATATCCTTCCCCTATAATACTTGATGGATACAAAAAGACAAGTTGATCCTGGATATAAAAAGCCAAAAATCCTCCTCACTTAAACTTTGGTTTAACTGAAAAAAAAAAAAAAAAAAAAAAAAAAAAAAAACTTTAAAATGCTGATTTTCAGATTTGTTCTTTGGTCAGGCAGTATAAAGCTCTCTGAAAGAAGTCCCTTTACCTGGTTATAGTATGAAAACAGTCAAAATAGAAAATGTCAGTTTAGGAAAGAGATCTATGTGTTCAGAATTTCTCAGAAAAGAAGAAAAAAAATGTACAGACTGGCAGACCCTAGCCCCAGATGCCAGATTCAGTTGTCTTAGGGCATCAAGAATAAAAGAGAACTAGCATTCAGAAGAGTAATACTTAAGGGGGTTAGCTTCTAAAAGCCCTCAATAAATAAATCAAATCCTTAAATAGAACATGATAAATGATTTCTGAGCAGAGGATTTACCAACATTTTCCTTTATCAGTTTAAATCCTAATCTGGACCCAGACCCAGCCAGAGGCTGTCATAATTTTGAAACGTATAGAAAGCAGTAAGGAATGCAAGCCACAGACTGCAAGGAGTAACCAATTCCTCCCACACTGCCCCTGCCCCTCACCCATCAGGAGTGCACATCATTCTATGGAGTAGCTTTGTACCCAACACTCAGATGTGAGAGGGGCCTTCTCACCAGGGTGGAATATGGTGCTCTGACAACAGTAAGTGCTTTAAAAAGGGGGTGGGATGTGTTACGGTTAGAGCTTGGGAAAAACCAGAATTTGGGCATATCCTCTGACTGTGACCATTATGAATAAATATTTGATGGTAAAGGAAGAAATCATCTGGTGACCAGAACAAAATGGAGTAAGACCAAACCCTTGGGAGGTTACACAATAAGACTTTCAGCAGTCATCGTTTACTGTTTTCTTAAAAGACTAAACTTAAGATTAAAGGGTGAATACTTCAGTTGATTACGTGAATGGTTAAAGAAAGATTCCAAGGTTGGCCACCTCTGAGACCTGGATGGGAAGTAAGTGGAAGGCACTTGCTCCCTAGGGAGGAGGGCCAGGTAAGTCTCCAGGCTGTGGAGCCAGAGCCAGCAGTAGCTCTTGATGGGCCCGAGTTCGTGAGGTGCTGGGAGAGGGGAATGGCCTGGCCTGTGTGGTTGGCCAGAGACAGGCTAGGGTCAGTGTGATTTCACAAGTAGAATGATTATAAAATAAAATGTTTTTTTAATGGACCAAAAAGCAAAGTGAGTCACCTTTGTTTTTAAAGGTGAGATTTAGCAAAGGAAGGATTTGAAGCAGTTTTTACTATTTACAAAATGTCATTTAGAGTAGAGATGGCCACCTTCAGTAGTTGAGGAAATGTCTTTCACATGAGATGGCCACAGAAGTGTGGTTCCTGGAACCGGCTCACAAAGGCCACACGCTGTCCTGGGTGAGGGAGAATTCCTCTGAGGGAGCACCAGAAAGGCTCAGTCTTCTGTTTCTTCATAGGTCGTCTCATCAAAGGGCCTGTCCAGTAGAGGCACCAGCCGATGACGGGAATACTTCAGCTGCAATAGGTCCCCAACTTCATCTATCTCCTTTAAAGCCTGAAATATACACAACACAGTAGAGGTATGTCAGAGCCAGGAGGATGCAGCATGCCTCGTGTTTTACTTTAATAAAACTATCATGGCAAGATTACCTTGTGGCAGGACTTATGTCTACTGGATTTACAAGATCAGACTACAATACAGCTGTGGGAAGAGCTGCTTATTCTTTTTTTTTTTTTTTTTTTGAGATGGAGTCTCGCGCTGCTGCCCAGGCTGGAGTGCAATGGCGTGTTCCTGGCTCACTGCAACCTCTGCCTCCTGTGTTCAAACGATTCTCCTGCCTTAGCCTCCCAAGTAGCTGGGATTATAGGTGTGCGACACAACCCACGACTGATTTTTTTTATCTTTAGTAGAGACGGGGTTTCACCATGTTGGCCAGGCTGGTTTCAAACTCCTGACTTCATGATCCACTGCCTCAGCCTCCCAAAGTGTTGGGATTACAGGAGTGAGCCACCGTGCCCAGCTGAACTACTTTTTAAACAAGGCCTTCAAGCTCACCGTGAATAATGGGTTGTGAATAGCCAGGTATACAGAATAAAGGCTGTAATTCAAAGTATGATATACTTGGTAGAAAAAGTTATATGTACTCTGAACTCACAAAACTGACTACAATTTGTCATCTCTCCCTTTTTGAGATGAAGTCTCGCTCTGTCACTTAGGCTGGAGTGCTGTGGTGCCATCCCAGCTCACTGCAATCTCTGCCTCCCAGGTTCAAGTGATTGTCCTACCTCAGCCTCCCAAGTAGCTGAGATTACAGGTGCCTGCCACCACACCTGGCTAATTTTTGTATTTTTAGTAGAGATGGCATTTCACCAAGTTGGCCAGGCTGGTCTCGAATTTCCAACCTCAAGTGATTCACCACCTTGGCCTCCCAAGGTACTGGGATTATAGGCATGAGCCAACAAGCCTGGCCAATTTTTTTTTTTTTTTTTGAGACAGAGTCTTGCTCTGTCTCCCATGCTAGAATGCAGTGGTGCCATCTCAGCTCACTGCAACCTCAGCCTCCTGGGTTCAAGAGATTCTCTGCCTCAGCCTCCTAAGTAGCTGGGACTACAGTCTCATACTACCATGCTCAGCTAATTTTTGTAGAGACTGGGTTTTGCCATGTTGGCCAGGCTAGTCTTGAACTCCTGGTCTCCAACTTCTGGCATCAAGAAATCCACTCACTTCTGCCTTCCAAGTGCTAGGATTACAGGTGTGAGCCAGCACAACTGGTGTCTTAAACTTAATTAAAAAAAAAAATCAGTGTTTGGAGAAAACAAACTCACCGACTATTCCTGACATAATCTAACATAAGAAAAAATATTCTTGACTTCAAAATGTGAAAAATATAAAAAGCAAATAAGAGCTGAATTTCAGGCCAAGTGTGGTGGCTCATGCCTATAATCCCAGCACTTTGGGAGGCCGAGGTGGGCAGATCATGAGGTCAGAAGATTGAGATCATCCTGGCTAACACCATGAAACCTCATCTTTACTACTACTACTAAAAATAAAAAAAAATTAGCCGGGCATAGTGGCATGCGCCTGTAGTCCCAGCTACTCAGGAGGCTGAGGCAGGAGAATTGCTCGAATCCGGGAGGTGGAGGTGGTGGTGAGCCAAGATCGTGCCACTGCACTCTAGCCTGGACAACAGAGCTAGATTCCAACTCAAAAAAAAAAAGATAGTGCATTGAAGTTCAGCTTTTTTTTTTTCTGTGAGATGGAGTCTTGCTCTGTTTCTTAGGTGGGAGTGCAATGGTGAGATCTCAGCTCCCTGCAACCTCTACCTCCCAGGTTCAGGCAATTCTCCTGCCTCAGCCTCCCCAGCAGCTGCGACTACAGGCATGTGCCATCTGCCCGGCTAATTTTTATGGTTTTATTAGAGACAGGGTTTCACTATATTGGCCAGGCTGGTCTTGAACTCCTAACCTCGTGATCCACCTGCCTTGGCCTCCCAAAGTGCTGGGATTACAGGTGTGAGCTACTGTGTCCAGCCAATGCACTATCACAACAGTGGTTCCTCTGAGACGAGGGGTAAGTGAAAGCTCCAAATGGAAACAATTTAAATATAAATTAAAGCTGGGAGAACCCATCGATCATTTATAACCCTGACCTCTAAGATAAGATTTATTAATTTAAGACAAAAGTCAAGGCTGAACATGGTGGCCCAAGTCTGTAATCATAGCACTTTGGGAGGCCAAAGTTGGCATAGCTTGAGTCCAGGAGTTTGAGACCAGCCTCGGCAACACAGCTAGACCCCCATCTCTTAAAAAAAAAAATTTGCCAGGCATAGTCTCAGCTACTCTGCAGGCTGAGTTGGGAAGATCTGGAGGCCAGGAGGTGGAGGCTGCAGTGAGCCAAGATCATGCCACTGTACTTCAACCTAGGTGACAAAGTGAGACCCTGCCTCAAAAACATAGTAAGACGAAAGTCCACGTGACTAAGATCACAAAGGAATGGGCATTTATGAACTCTGACTTCAGAAGAATCTAGAATTTCTTCATCAATGTAAAAAAGTAATCATTAGATAGAAAAAAAAAGTCCTCAGTAGCCCAAGGGGATCTAGACTACAAGATTTCCTCTGATCCCACACCAAGTATTTCACACAAATCAGTGTCATGTGCATAGAAGATAACATTCTAATGAGAGCTGACTCTTGTGTAGGGTATTTGGGTATGTTAGAGACAGGGAGCCAGTATATGCATCACTATTTATTAAAAAATAGTCCATGTGGAACCTCTAGATCACAGGTAAAGTGGGTTCCTAGGAGAAAAACATGTATTTGTTATAGGGCTGAATAACCGAATCCTCTAATACGGTCATCCTGCCACTCCCCGGAGCCAATATCCTTGCACTTCAAGTCCATTTTAAAAAATAACAAAAGTACAGCTTTGACACAATTCACATTAAACAAAATTCGCTTTTTGTTTTCTTTTTTGAGATGGAGTCTAGCTCTGTCGCCCAGGCTTGGAATTCAGTGGCACGATGTCATTTCAGTGCAACCTCCGCCTCTCAGGTTCAAGCAATTCTGCTTCGGCCTCCTGAGTATGTGGGATTACAGGTGCCTGCCACCAAGCCTGGCTAATTTTTGTATTCTTAGTAGAAATGGGGTGTCACTGTGTTGGCAGGGGGATTACAAGTGTGAGCCACTGTGCCTGGCCCAAAATTCACTTGTAAGGTATGTAATTCATTGCTTCTAAGTATGTTCACAAAGTTGTGCAACTTTCATCATTACCTAGCTTTAGAGTATTTTTATCAACCTAAAAGGCAACCCTATGCTCATTGTATCAATCCTCATTCCTCCCTCCTCTCAGGCTGGCTGCAACCAATCTATTTTTTGACCCTATGAATTTGCTTGTTCTGGACATTTCTTTTTTCTTTTTTTTTGAGACAGTCTTGCTCTGTCACCAGGTGCCAGGTGCCAGGCTGGAGTGCAGTGGTGCCATCTTGGCTCACTGCAACCTCTGCCTCCCAGGATCAAGTAATTCTCCTGCCTCAGCCTCCTGAGTAGCTGGGATTACAGGCATGCACCACCACGCCCAGCTAATGTTCCAGACATTTCTTAGAAATAGAATAGTAAGTGTCTATTGGCCTTTGTATTTGACTTCTTTCACTTAGCCTAGTGTTTTCAACGTTTATCCATGCTGTAGGGTCAAAACTTCTTTCTTCAGCATCCAGCTGACCTAGTACCATTTGTCAAAGAGAATATTCTTTTCTCATTGACTGGTCTTGGCTTCCTTGTTGAAAACAAGTTGGCCATAGATGCCTGTACTTTATTTCTGAACTCTCAATTCTACTTCACTGGTCTATATATCTATACTTATGCAAGTACTCCATTGCTGTAATTACTGTACCTTTGTAGTAAATAGCTTTGTTTTAAAATTAAGAAGTGTAAGTCTTCCAACTTTGCTTTTACTTTTCAACATTAATTTAGCTGTTTGGGGCCCCTGCCAGATCCATATAAATTTGAGGATCAGCCTTTCAATTTCTGCAAAAAAGGGCCAGTGGCTTAGGGTCTCCCAATCCATTTTTTTCTGAGAAACGCAGAACACTGGATCTGTAGGTTGCTATACTGCCATCTTAACAATATTAAATCTTCCAATCCATGAACACAGGATGTCATTCCATTTCTTGAAGTCTTCCTTTAATGTCTTTCAGCAAAGTTTTATAGTTTTCAGTATATACATCTAAATATAACAGTATACATGTAAATTAGCCAGTGAACAAGGGAAAGGCTTTTTTTTGGGGGGGTGGAGGCTTTCTTAAGCTTTTGAGTGTTACTGTAAAATAAATTTTCTTAATTTTCTTTTCATTTGTTCATTGCTGATGTATAAAATCACTAATCTTCCGTGTGCTGATCTCTTACCCTGCAACTCTGCTGAATTCATTTATTAGCTCTAGCCATCTGTGTACATGTGGGATATGTGTGTGTGTGTGTGTGTGTGTGTGTATATATATATATATTTCATAGCACTACAGAATCATGTCATGGGGCCCATTAATAAATGAAAATTACTTTGTATCTCATAAAAGTTTAGTTTATGATTAGTTCCATAAAACATCATAAGACAAAATGACTTTAACAAATCCATGGTTTCAAAAAAGGCACTTTATGCTTTAAAAAATAAATGGGGCCGGGCGCAGTGGCTCACGCCTGTAATCCCAGCACTTTGGGAGGCCGAGGCGGGTGGATCACGAGGTCAAGAGATCGAGACCATCCTGGTCAACATGGTGAAACCCCGTCTCTACTAAAAATACAAAAAATTAGCTGGGCGTGGCGGCGCGTGCCTGTAATCTCAGCTACTTAGGAGGCTGAGGCGGGAAAATTGCCTGAACCCAGGAGGCGGAGGTGGTGGTGAGCCAAGATCGCGCCATTGCACTCCAGCCTGGGTAACAAGAGCAAAACTCCGTCTCAAAAATAAAAAAAAAAAATAATAATAATAATAATAAACTAAATGGGAGGCAAAGCCCAACAATCCCTCAAGCAAATCTTATAAAAAGAATTAGAACTCTCAATTGGCAAATATATTTGTTGGCAACAAAAATTTCCTTAGGATATCCTAAGGAGATATCCTGGTTACATCTAAATTCTTTCATGAATGTGTACAGTTCTCATGAGTCAAAGTTGTTGTCAGAAAGCACAGGTTATTGCCATAGACATTGCTTATAGTTATGTAGACATTTTTTTTTGAGGCGGAGTTTCGCTCGTTACCCAGGCTGGAGTGCAATGGCGCGATCTCGGCTCACTGCAACCTCCGCCTCCTGGGTTCAGGCAATTCTCCCGCCTCAGCCTCCTGAGTAGCTGGGATTACAGGCACGCGCCATCATACCCAGCTAATTTTTTGTATTTTTAGTAGAGGCGGGGTTTCACCATGTTGACCAGGATGGTCTCCATCTCTTGACCTCGTGATCCACCCGCCTCGGTCTCCCAAAGTGCTGGGATTACAGGCTTGAGCCACCGCGCCCGGCCCATGTAGACTTTTTAAAATTTTTATTTGACCTCAGGTGATCCACCCACCTCAGCCTCCCAAAGTGCTAGGATTACAGGCGTGAGCCACCACGCCTGGCTCAGACTTTTTTTTAAAGGCATGTTGAAACTCTGAGTTAATAGGTGAACATGAGAAAAGAACCTCTTAAAACATCAATAGAGCAGAAGGGAAAGAAAAGCTGAAATCTCTAGGTTAAAAAAAATAATTGCAGAAATTTCCAGTAAAATTTCTGAGAAATTAGAAAAATCTATTGAAACAAATCTGACAGGCATAATCAAAATAAAGAAGGAAAGATACAGTATCCAAAAACTGAATCTAACTGGATGTCAGAATATGATTAAGAATACACTCACATCACTGTGCCTGTAGTTAACAATACTGTATTATACACGGAAAAAATTGTTAAGAGGACAGATCTCATGTTAAGTGTTCTTACTCCAATTTTGTTTTTTAAAAGGGAATACACTCACACTCCTAGAAAATTTGCTGTATGGAAACAGAGAAGTTACAAGTCTTCAGCTATTCAGGAATATAAAATGTCAATCAAATTGTGATAATGAACCTTTATAAAGAAGCACTCATAATGTTCTTTAAGATTAGTAGCTCTCTAACTCATTAATGGATATTTCTAGCAACTAATTTTATGCAAATGTCATGTTCTAAAGCTTTATAAACTCCCAGAGAGCAATACTGATTTAAGTCTGAAATCTTAGATTTGAAGCAATAACATACTAGGAGAATACACAGAGATGAGAATATATTGAGATCATAAATAATTATGTTTAGTAATAATGATCCTCAACTAGATGCCTGGCAGTGTGGTGGGTGCTGGGATACAGAAAGAGTAAAACAGACTTGTTCCTATCCTCAATATTTATCTAATGGAGAAGACCGAATAATTCCAGGTGTAAAGAGTTTAGTAAGGGAAAATTTCAGGATTCCAAGGGAACACAGAGCAAGAAGGTATGGGGGTGCCCCTGAGCAATTTTCCTTTAAGTGGAGATGTGAAGAATGAGTGGCAGTCAGCCAGGCAGAGGGGAAAGAAGGCTCAAGAGAGAAAATTTCAGACAGAACAACATACAAGAAAGCTTAGAGTAGACATAGCTACAGTAGAAAGAGAATTGTAGAGTCCAAAGTGAGGGGAGACAATGGAGCAAGATCAAACTGGAAAACTCTCCAGAGCTCTGATGATGCTGGGTGTGGTGGGTGACAGTTTATTTGTAAATGCCAATGCTTTCGGTAGCAGTGTCACCTCCTCTGTCTTACTAGTAAACATCTTAGGTGCTCAAAGAACATCAGGACCAATATATTATGAATGTCATCTAATATTCAGACCCTTTTAATGAAAGGCATATTTATATCAAGGTGAAAGTGCCATCTTACAGTATCAAGTATTTCTTTGGTATGAGCTGCTGACAGGCAGAACCTGGCTCTGGACTCAATAATCGGGGTAGCAGGAAATCCCACCACAACGACACCGATGTTCCGCTTCAGCATCTCCCGTCCAAAGGCGCTGTAAAGGGGAAAACAAGGAACAGAAACCAGGAAGGGTAAGAAAGCACTCATTAGAGAAGACTTGCTGACCTCAATGATTTAAACTCTTTGTGATGCAGGCATTGGAGGACTTCTGGAGGAGTTTCCTTTAACTTGTTCTTTTTTTTTTTTTTAGAGACGAGGTTTTACCATGTCAGGCTGGTCTCAAACTCCTGACCTTGTGATCCACCCAGCTCGGCTTCCCAAAGTGCTGGGATTACAGGCGTGAGCCACCGCACCTGGCCTTCTTTAACTTCTTTTAAAGTTAAAATTGACAGCTCACAAATACTTTTGAAGTCAATCCTAAGGCAGCCTTCTCCTATATGGTGTCCTTCACAAAACTGAAATAATAGAGATCAAGTTCAATAGGATTTACGTAAGAAGACTTATAAGTATAGCCTTAAAAAGTATCCCTGGCCGGGCGGTGGCTCACACCTATAATCCCAGCACTTGGGAGGCTGAGGCGGGTGGATCATGAGGTTAAGAGATCGAGACCATCCTGGTCAACGAGGTGAAACCCTGTCTCTACTAAAAATACAAAATAATTAGCAGGGCATGGTGGCAAGCGCCTGCAGTCCCAGCTACTTGGGAGGCTGAGGCAGGAGAATTGCTTGAACCCAGAAGGCGGAGGTTGTGGTGAGCTGAGATCGCGCCATTGTATTCCAGTCTGGGTAACAACAGCGAAACTCCGTCTCAAAAAAAAAAAAAAAGTATCCCTGAGGATACATGATACAGGCAGATCACACCTGTAATCTTAGCACTTTGGGAGGCTGAGGTGGCTGGATCACTTGAGCTCACCAGTTTGAGACCAGCCTGGGCAACAAGGCAAAATCCGGTCTCTAACAAAAATACAAAAACAATTAACTGGGTGTGGTGGCATGCACCTGTAGTCTCAGCTACTCTGGAGGCTCAGGCATGAGAATCTCTTCAAGCCGGGAGGCAGAAACTGAAGTGAGCCAAGATCACACCACTACACTTCAGCCTGAGCAACAAAGCAAGACTCTGTCTTTAAAAAAAAAAAAAAAAAAAAAAGTCCCTGATGTGTAATAGTGGTTCAGAGGCTTCAAAATGAATGTGTACTTAATTAAAACCTGGTCCTTGAAATGCTAAGCTTGGCAGTTTAACAAATTCTGAATATTCTGCAGCTGTGGGGGATCTGCTGTAACATGGCACATCTTTTCTGCTAGCAGAGTAAGGCTGGCTGACATGAGCTCTCCAGATCACCCATTTCTTTGGTTGTCTTGGGAACAACACTGCTTCAGTATTCAGGGCTTCCTTTGGTGTCTGTCAGGCCAGTTCACCTGCTGGCTTCAGCTGATTACTCAGACCACACAATTTGTGTTTAATAATCCCTGCACCCCTACCCTAACCCAAACTGGAGGCCTGTGGCTTTACTCCACATCTGTATCTTGTCTAAATAACACATTCTAACTTTTATTTACTGAATTATGTTGTTCTCTGTCTTTTCCTCTTGTTGACCTCCCTTATGTTTTAACTTTTCCTTTAAGCTGTTTACAGCATTTGTCTATAATAAAAAAATTTGTCCAGGCGCAGTGGCTCTCGCCTGTAATCAATTCCAGCACTTTGGGAGGCCGAGGCGGGCAGATTACTTGAGGCCAGGAGTTGGAGACCAGCCTGGCCAACATGGTGAAACCCCATCTCCACTAAAAATACAAAGATTAGCCAGGTGTGCTGGTGGGTGCCTGTAATCCCAGCTACTTCAGGGAGGCTGAAGCACAAGAATTGCTTGAACCCAGGAGGCAGAGGCTGCAGTGAGCCAAGATCGTGCCATTGCACTCCAGTCTGGGGAATACAGTGAGACTCAGTTTCAAAAAAAAAAAAAATAATCCTGCAATGCTAGTCTTTTCAGCCTTTTCCCACTTTCTCTAGTACCAGTGCATCTTCCTCAACATTGCTCTTTTGTGTCAGCATGAACCTGACTGCCCTGCATCTTCAGTACATGCTCCCAAACTGTCTAGTGCCTTATTCCAATTCTTCTTCACTTTCTCTAAATCTTTCTTAATTATAATGTACACAGTCAGTTGCACCTATGTAGAATAGAGGAGACACAGCCTTCTTTAAAGAGAGAGCTCTAGACTGAGTCCTTTGGATCTGATACCTCTTCATATTTGTTTATGATAATTCCACTTAAATAAGAATGAAGAAGATCCTTCCCCATTCCCTCTGAAGCCATAATACCATTGCCCTTATGACTTCATGTTGAAACCCAAATTCTTTTTCTCCTAGTGAGCACATTTTCCTGATTTCCCTCATTCTCTTTGAATCACATTACTTCCAGGATCCCTGATTTAATTGCCTCTCCCATATTCATTTCAATAAACATTTACCTGAGTGTCAGAGACTGTGGTGGACACCGGGAACTCAAAAATTTAAAAAAAATTGCTCCTTCAATGAGCTCAATCAAACTGGAGAAAGGCTTTAAGATCCAACTCAAAACTCACCCATCCAACAAGATGTGCCTTTCTTATTGAGCCTATATTAAGCAGATCACTCCTTTATTCTACATCTGCAGTGCTATTTTGCATATAATAAAATTTGTTCAGTATAATTAGTGTTCATTTGCTTTTCAAATGTCTTTTGGTTTCATTATACATCTGGACTTCTCAAATACATTGAAAGCTAGGGCACACTTTCCATTATGTAAGCCTTGTACAAACCAAAGAAGCTGGTATAATCTGCAAACCTGGTAAATATCCAGTAACACACTCTGCTATAACTTCTCTAACCTCATGGCCCACTGCTTCTGCTGGGGCACTGTGCTCCAACTCCAGGGACCTTTTTTTTTTTCTTTTTTTTTTGAGACAGTCTCACTCTGTTGCCAGGCGCCAAGCTGGAGTCCAGTGGCACAATCTCTGCTCACTGCAACCTCCGCCTCATGGGTTCAAGCAATTCTCCTGCCTCAGCCTCCCGAGTAGCTGGGATTACAGGTGCACACCACCATGCCCAGCTAATTTTTGTATTTTTAGCAGAGACGGGGTTTCACCATGTTGACCAGGATGGTCTCAATCTCTTGACTTGGTGATCCGCCTGCCTCGGCCTCCCAAAGTGCTGGGATTACAGGCTTGAGCCACCGCGCCCCCGCTCCAATTCCAGGGAACTCTTTGCTACTCTTCCGTTAGCTAAGCAAACTCGCTCCTGCAATGTGACCTCTGCACAGATGCTTCTTTCTCCAAAGGCTAACTCTCTTCTCCTTCAAATCTTTACTCAGATGTCATTTTCCTTCCCAAGGAGGCTTACCCTGACCATCCTATTTAAAAGTTCATCTGCCCACCCACAGGGCACTCTCAACTCCCCATATAGGTCTTGCTCTATTTCTTTATATTTATTGATATAAATTTTTTGAGACAGAGCTTCGCTCTTGTTGCCCAGGCTGGAGTTCAATGGCACGACCTTGGCTCACTGCAACCTCAGCCTTCCGGGTTCAAGTGATTCTCCTGCCTCAGCCTTCCAAGTAGCTGGGATTACAGGCATGTGCCATCACGCCCGGCTAATTTTGTATTTTCAGTAGAGTTGGGGTTTTTCCATGTTGGTCAGGCTGGTCTCAAACTCCCGACCTCAGGTGATCCACCCACCTCGGCCTCCCAAAGTGTTGGGATTACAGCCGTGAGCCACCACGCCGGCCGGTCCTGCTCTATTTTTTTCTGGAATGCTTGACACCTTCTAACATAGTACACAGTTCATTTGTTTATTATGTTTGTCTGACTCTTGCCCTACTAAACTCCACAGGACAGAGATGTTTGTATTTTATTCACTGATCTAGCCTAGGCCCTTAGAAGTACATGAAACTCAAACGTTTGTTTAATGAAAGAATAACAAATTAATATACTTTACAATTTGAAATCTGCTATTTGATCTATGGCATATGTACCAAATGAAGGTTAACACAATAAGGACAACACCATTTTCCCTACAAAATACATAAGCCCTAGTCTCACATCACAGATACCTTAGGTATAAAGACATTCTAGTCTGTGATCTGCAACCAAACGTACCCAATTTTGGCAGGCATGTAGAGCATCAAAGGCACTACTGGAGAGTCCTCATTTCCATAGATGATGAAGCCCATCTCTTTCAGGCGTCTCCTGAAATACCTGGTGTTTTCAGCTAACTGTTGTACACACTCTTTACCTGGAAAGTCATGGGGAGAGATAAAAAAATAATAAGAAAAAAGAAATGAAAAAAAGGCAGCAGTCTCCTCTATCTCCATTCTAATCAGTTCTGTTTCATTGCTTGCATTCCACCATAAAATATTTTGCACAGTAAACTGTATGGAATATCAATGTAAATAAACGTCTTATTTTGTATTCTGTCATTCTACCTCTTAATAGCAGAAGTTATAATAATGCAAAAAACGTTTAACAGCGTATTAGCATCCTCAAAGAATTTCAGCCATACCCCCTCACTGAGCACTCCACACATCTCTTAATAGTAGGTAGGATATTTATGATTACCTTCATATTATAGGTCAGGAGACTCTCACCAAGGTGGTGACATGCCAACAGTTGCACAACAGTGTGTGACACACTAGGGTAGCAAGTGCCACAGCTGCAACCAGAATTTATGTCTCCTAACTTTAAGATTCATTCCAAGTAACTGTGCTGCAAAGAAATTTTACATTTAACACCAGAGATGAAGCCATTTAGACCCTCAAATTTTCATCTGTAAGTTTCATTTTATGTTGTTTCTTTAAAATTCTTTAGTTTTTTCTTTTTCTTTTCAGATGATGTCTTGCTCTGTCACCCAGGCTGGAGTGCAATGGTACAATCTTGGCTCACTGCAACCTCTGCTTCCTGGGTTCAAGCAATTCTCCTGTCTCAGCCTCCTGAATAGCTGGGGTTACAGGTGCGTACCACCATGCTCGGTAATTTATTATTTTTAGTGAAGATGGGGTTTTGCCCTGTTGGCCAAGCTGGTCTTGAACTCCTGACCTCAAGTGATCTGCCCACCTCAGCTTCCTAAAGTGCTAGGATTACAGATGTGAGCCACTGTGCCTGGCCTGTTTCATTAAAACTCTTACCAGGGAGCAGTAGCATATCTGTAACAGTATAAAATCGTATCTTTAATCCTACTGTACTCATCTTCCTTAAAACACAAATAGATTAAAACACACATTTATTTATTTGCTGACTGACTAAATATTTGGGCAGGTTTTGACATTATGGTAGGTCAATCTTTGAAAAGATATCCAAACAACTGTTCTGTTATACAGAACAACGAAATAAATTCAAATGATCAGCTTGTAAAGGACTAAGAACAATTTTATAATCTTCTCACAATCATAAACACTCATGAATAAAAAAGGTTGCAGTAATTTTCACATAGATTATAAAATCAACAAGTTCATATTTTTAAAAGTCCAAACATGATACATATGACATAAGTTCTTATGACACATTAACCAATCAGACATACAGATGGCTAACAAATGTCCTAAGAATTAGAATACTCACATATCCATCATTCACAGGAAGCTACTCTAGATAAGCTGGCCACAAATAAGTCAAAATTAATACTCTTTATGTAGATAATTTGAAGTTGATCAGAGAAAAACAAGCTTAGATTAGCCTAATTAGTATAAACACTGAAGAGCATCATTTAAGTTATTTCACCATTTAAGTTACGTTACAAAGAAGAAAGCAAACATTAAAGTGTGTTATATTTAAGTATGCTGGGAACTGATGAGCCAAGTACCCTAATTTCCCCCTAGAAATATCAATGTATGTTTAATTTACATCTAGAAGATGAGACTTCTTCCAGCCATGCAGTACCAGAGGCTGGATTTACCTTCCTTCTGTAAACAATAGGAAACTGGACAAAGTACATAAACAATGACTTTTAGACACTGAACCACAGGCGGTGCCAGACTATGCTGCCTGAACACGGGCCCCAGGTTGCTGCACAGGGAAGGAGGGTCCAGTCTTGCCAGCTGAGGACATCTGAGGTTGGATTGGAGAATTGCCAGTTGAGATCAGAGATGGGGAGGCTGCGGGAGCTAGAATTTGTTGGGCAGTGTACGGGAGAGAAGAGGATGAGATGAGAGAGATTTAGGGATCTGCAGAGGGGTCCTTTTGAAATTTGGGAAGTGTACTGATTTGTATATACATGAAAAGAAACTAGCAGAGGCTGGGGAAAGATCTACCAGAAAGCAATAGGCCAAACTATTCCTGCACTCAACGGAGCTGGGAATAGTTTGTATTTTTATCCACCAAAATGGTAAGATCTGGAGTCATCTAATAGAGTCTTCAGAAGGGGACTCCACTACTATCACCTTAGTAGTGGAGATAAATTAACCCTAGACTAAATATTGGTCTAAACCCACCCTAACCTTAAAATGAAGTCTCAAAAGGATCTGTCTGACTGATTCCAAGAACAAAGTCCCACATTACCTAAAGGAAAACAACAAGATATAAAACCTAGGAATGTAAAATTCGCAATGTCCAATATATAATTTACAAATTCCAGGCCTTCAAAGAAACAGGAAAATAAAACGTACAACCAGGGGAGAAGTCAATCAATAATAACAGACTAGAAATAACAGAGTATTAGCAGATAAGGATGTTAAAGGCCACTATACATATGATCTTTATGTTCAAAAAGGTAGAAGAAACGAGGAGGGAAAGGAAATATACAGAAAGGAACAAACAATTGCTAAGGCAACAATGCTGATGAATCTCAACGCATAATGTTTAATGAAATAAGCCAGACATGAGATCACACACTGCATGAATTCATTTGTATGAAATTCTAAAGACATACTGTAATAACAACAGATTCATGGTTGTCAGGGAGTATGGGAAGGGGACTAATATAGCAAAGGGGCAGGAGGAAACTTTCAGGACAAGGAAAATATTCTAACCTTGATCATGGCATGGTTGTAAGATTGGATACATGGGACCAGACACAGTGGCTCATGCTTGTAATCCCAACACTTTAGGAGGTCAAGGCAGTGGTCAGGAGTTTGAGACCAGCCTGGCCAACATGGGAAAACCTCATCTCTACTAAAATTACAAATATTAGCCAGGCGTGTTGGTGGGCACCTGTAATTCCAGCCACTTGGGAAGCTGAGGCAGGAGAACTGCTTGAACCTGGGAAGTGAAGGTTATAGTGAGCCAACACCACGCCACTGCACTCCAGTCTAGGTGACAGAGCAAGACTTTGTCTTAAAAAAAAAAAAAAAAGACTAGATACATGTCAAAACTCAAAAACTCATGGAATTACCACACATACTTAAATCTGGTGAATTTTATCATATTTGAAAGATAGCTCATTAAAGTTGGTCTAAAAAGTTAAGTAATGCTTTTGCATATTAGTCTAGTGTACATTAATTTTTTCTGCATCCAGTTTACCATTTTGTAACTTATCACCTTTTTTTTTTTTTTTTTTTAAGACAGGGTCTCACTATGTCACCCAGGCTAGAACCTCTGTCTTCCTGGCTTAAAGAATCCTTCTGCCTCATTCTCCTGTGTATCTAAGACTACAGGTGTGCATCATCATTCCCAGCTAATTTTTAATTTTTTTCTGTAGAGATGAAGTTTCACCATTGTTACCCAGCCTGGTCTGGAAGTCCTGGGCTCAAGTGATCTACCCGCCTGACCTCCCAGAGTGCTGGGATTACAGGTGTGAGTCACCATTATACCTAGCCACCACTTTAAAAAAATCACAAATCTTCAGCTGGGCATGGTGGTGCATACCTGTAATCCCAGCTCAGGAGGCTGAGGCAGGAGAATTGCCTGAACCTAGGAGGCGGAGGTTGCAGTGAGCCAAGGTCGCACCTTTGCACTCCAGCCTGGGTAACAAGAGGAAAACTCCGTCTCAAAAAAAAAAAAAAAAAAAAAATCACAAATCTTTTAGCTATTTAATCACAAACTGACTAGCCTGTTTTTTTTTCTTTGGAGACAGAGTCTCGCTCCATCGCCAGGCTGGAGTGCAGTGGCGCGATCTTGGCTCACTACAACCTCCGCCTTCCAAGTTCAAGCAATTCTCCTGCCTTAGCCTCCCAAGTAGCTGGGACTACAGGCGTGCGCCACCACACTCAGCTAATTTTTGTATTTGTATTTTTTTAAAGATGGGGTTTTACCATGTTGGTTAGGCTGGTCTTGAACTCCCGACCTCAGGTGATCTGCCCGCCTTGGCCTCCAAAGTGTTTGGATTACAGGCGTGAGCCACCATGTCTGGCCTAATTTTTTGTATTTTTAGTAGAGAAGGGGTTTCACCATGTTGGCCAGGATGGTCTTGATCTCTTGACCTCATGATTGGCCGCCCGCCTCGGCCTCCCAAAGTGCTGGGATTACAGGCGTGAGCCACTGTGCCCAGCCGACTAGCCCGTTTTTTTTAAAAAAAGTTTTTTCAAACTGAAAATGGAACTACCATGCAGTCCAGCAATCCCACTACTGCTGTTTATCCAAACAAAAGGAAATCAGTATTATCAAACGGATATATATACAGCTATGCTTCCTGCAGCACTATTCACAATAGCCAAGATATGTAATCACCCTAAGTATCAGCAGATGAATGGATAAAGAAAATGTGGCAGATACACACAATGGAATACTATCCAGCCATAAAAAGAATGAAATGCTGTCACTTGCACAACATGGATAGGACTGAAGGTCATGATGTTGAGTGAAATGAGCCAGGCACGGAAAGACATGTATCACCTGTTCTGACTCATGTGGGAGCTAAAAAAGTAGATCTCATGGAGGTAGAGAGTAGAACAGTGGTTACCAGATGCTGGGAAGGGTGGGGGAAAGGGGACTGAAGAGAGGTTGGTTAATGGGTACAAACATATAGTTAGACAGGAGGAATGAGGTATAGCGTTTGATGGCACAGTAAGATTACTACAGTTAACAATAGTTTACTGTGTATTTCAAAATAGCTAGACGAGCTGAAATGTTCTCAGCACAAAGAAATGATCAATGTTTTCGGGTGAGGTCTTCCTAAGGAAAAAAAAATGATAAATGAGATGATGCATATCCTAAATATTCTGATTTGATCAGAGTTTTTGATACGGTATGCATGTATCAAAATATCATAGGTAGCCCTTAAGTTTTATTATTATATTTTTTCCCCTTTAAGTATTATCATGGATCAATTTTTAAAAAAGGAAAGCCAGGCACAGTGGTTGATTC